ACACACACAGATAGTCGGCGCCACTCAAGCCTACTCTACGAAGGCACAGCCAAGGCATTCGTTGTACCGTCCTTTTTGCAGGCGGGTGGGGAGGCGGAGGGGGAAGGTTTTAAAAGCCTTCGTTTGCGTTTGAAAGCCATCAACGAGGAGGGGAGGGGTGTGTGGCTGTCCTTGTCAAAGAGGTGTAAGATGGCAATCTTGGGTGAGTGTGCGCACGGAGGCGCAAAAAGGATGGGAGGTAGACGGAGGGAGGGCAAAACTGTTTTGCATTTACATGAAGCTGCATTCCCACACGTCTGTACACAAATATCGCATGCATTTACACCTTTACAATTACAGTGTATTCCAGGATAGGTAATTGAGGTGCATTAGCGTTCAATGTTAAGCAGAAGCTTTGGATTAATGGAGAGTCTCCTGAAGGTTTCAAGGCCATAGGGGTAATTCAGTCACACATGTGCATGTCGTTGTTGCACTGTGATTAAACCCTAAACGATGTCGTAGGATTTGGATAGTGCCTCAAACGCCTATTGATGGCCACTCTAAAACCTTCCAATATTTAAAAAAGAACTTCGCTTTAGGAAAGACACATCTCTCCTTCTCTATGTGGAACTGTAAATCGAAGCACCACCTGGCTCACATAGTCCATTTTTACCCGGGCTCTAATTTCTACGTCAACCGCCAGTCATTCCATTACTTGACGGCCTACTTTGCGCATTTGACCTTGTTCTTTGAGAATGAAACCTCACACACCTGTTTTTTCGCCTTGTCCGTAAGACCTACAAATTTGTGGTTGCAGTTCTCAAGGGGTCCCATACTTGTTTCTTTTGAGTGACTCACTGCAGGCACTATCTCGTCCGCATACCACTATGGGTGTTGATACCTGTTTTCAGATAATCACTGTAATGATTCAAAAACAATACTGACTCTATTCACTACAAATTGTCTCCATTTTTCCAACCATGTGTATAAGAAATTCGATGTATAACTTTCTTTCAAAAGAAAACTAAAGTGAAAATATTATGGTAGACTGGCCGCGCTGATCATTAAACCATTGTCTTTTATTAAGAAGGTAGTAGAATGAGTAGGGATTTTTCCCAAATTCCGGTGAATAGACTTAACTTAAGGTCATGATTTATTTTAAAAAAAACTTTTTTTCTGAATAAAATAACCTTCAACTGACAGTGGACAAACCGCATCGACCAAGTGAAATCGTACGTTTTCCGTTTACTAGTTCAGAATGACAACATCAAAACGAATGGTGCATCAGATGTCCTCGATTATATATACTACTTTAGGCAGCTGAATCTAATGTGATTGGATGTTGGAGATAATACCGCAGTTTTTACATGGGAAATTTGCGAATTTCTTTTTATTTTGGTAATCTGCGAAATCCCATAAAATTTTCAAACCTGATTTAGTGGCCGGTTGACTTTAGCAATCTCGACATATTGTCACAGTGTTGTCCAAAATAAAAGGACTCGTTCCGACAGTTGTCGGTGGTAGGCAGCACTGTCTAGACGCTTCAATGATACACCGAGCTTGGAGTTTTGAAATAAACTCATCAACAAAATCATGTTTCAGTAACTAGACAATTTTACGATCAAGGCATCGCCTAAACCTGCTTAGTCTCAAGCTTCTGCTTGTTGATCCTGCAACTCATGATTTCCGTAATTACGACCTGTGTTAATAAGTGGAAATGAAGCGTAAAGTCTTCTTAAACTAACTGCTCCGACACAAACTTTTCCTGTTGACCATATTTTGGGCGCCACACTCGCCTACCAGCTCATGTACCATCTGATGGGAAAGCAGCTTTCATTTATCTTGTCCCCATTTGAGGTCTGGCAATCGCCCCTGAAAATGCCCTTCCCCTCTTTCGCTCTTGTCTATTGTTCATAGCACGGTACTTCTCAAGTGAAAGTGTATAGACTGATGACAGTACCAAGAAACGCAGCCTAGTCCGATAGAATAAGTAAATGGATGGACCAATCAAATAGATATTTACACCGAAAATACGAGAGGTGAAGCGGGACAGGGCTAGGAAAGGAAAAGGCTAAACAAAACTGGCCTGTCCACATACGCACTGGTTTGGAGTATCAGAAGGGGACCCAGATGGTGATGATGTCAAATGCTCGGGCGCAAATGCGATTGCAGAACCGTGGTCCAGGGTCATTGAAGTCACTGGTGCCAGGGAAACAGAATCATGATTGTTCGAGCTAGTTAACTGTTTCGGCGATGTCTGGTACCCGTCCTGATGCCTTCTGAAAATTATCGGCGTAGGACGGTTCGACGCCTTGTAGGTGCCAAGAAGAGGGTCCTGCTGATGCTCACGAGTTCTGGTTTTAGATGAAGAGCGGTGGAGTTCATCGTAGGATTTTGAAGGGAGAAGGGTGCTGTAAGTTTGGCCTTTCGACTGAATTGTTGGGGTAATGCGGGGAGGCGGTGGAGGTGGGTGATATTGGGTAACAAGTGGAATGGGGTGAATAGGGGGTTTGTTGGTTACAGCAGTGACTGCCACTCCCCCTCCGACACTGGATGTTCCGTAAATAGGAGATAGTGAAACCTTTTGGAGGCTCCCAGCGTGGCATGCAGACGGCATAAGGTTGTTTTTCTGAGTAATTAAGGGAGTGAGAGGGCTCACTCGATTTGCGTCGTCAGTGTAAATCATGCTACCCACAACCTGACCGGTTGGTGAAATAGTGGCGAAACTCTTCTCTGAACCTGGAGGCAACGTGACCAGCATCTGAGGCTGAATATCAACCTGCAAGACCAAAGAATTATGCTAACGTCAGGTTCTGAATTTGTGGCTAATAGCAAAATTAATCAAATCTATGGAAATTTGCAATCGCTGTTATTTGGCTCCCTTTCCAAAATTCAGACGTTTACATCTGTATTTCAGAAACAAAATTACGATGCGGCATAAATGTTGTATACAAAATTCCTGGCAGACAGAGTAAACAAGAGACTGATCCCAGAAAATTAACTAAGATTGAACTAATAAGCATTTTGCATCGATATTTGGATTTTTACAGTGATGCTTTCATTAGGATATTGCAGAGAAAACTAGTTATTACTCATATCATCAGGGTGAAAGCAAACCTGCCTGTGAATGTGTTCAAAGTATCCCGAGCGAAATTTTAACACATTAATCCATCCCTAAAGTTTTAAACATTCAGTCATCAAATCTCAGAAACGGAGAGAGGACGAGAGGTAAGATAGTAACTGCATGCCATGGCACGCTTAATTCTGATGCTCAAAGCCCTCTCTCTGTGCCAAAAAGGAGTTGATAGAGCAGTGAAGGAAACTCTGCTGCCTGCCAATTATTCACCATAATCCATCCTACTCCGACCCACTCAGCGTAATCGCATGGCCATCTCCCTTTCTCGCAACTAACGAGACGAATCTTTTGTCATCTCGTCTTTTCTCTGTGTGGATTCCGAAGGATGTTTGCAAGCCTCTCACCACTAGACAACTGTAACTCAGAAGACCGCTGATTTCAATTGCAAGTATCCGGGCAGTTGAGAAAGAGACCAACTTTAAGCATACACTGAAGCGTCAAGGGTTATGGTTTGTTTGTGTTGATAGTTAAAAAGGTCTTTTTTGTATAGGCTGAGGGTAATAACTTAGCAACACGGTCTAGCAACATTTTTCAGTGAATGGTTGCACACCATGCGCGTAAAAGCAATATTTGTTGAATTTTATGTTAACTGACCGCGTCACACCCCAATTTGTTGTCAGTTAAGGCATGTGTGGTTTTTGGTTTGCTAAGCAAGGCGCTTGCTGAAAAAGATCTTAGTTTCGCATAATTGACAACAACTGTCGATCGGATTTCCGACCAGCTAGCAATAAAGGTGTGCTTGCATAGGTAATGAAGCACCTCAAAAAGAGTCACGACCAAAAAAATTCGGATTTAGTGAAGTTTTCCTCAAAAATTTAAATTAGAATCGAAAGTGAGCGCTTCTTGGTGGCACCCGAATGAAAAATAAACACTTCAGAGAACTGGCTGAACAATTGAAGTGTGATTTGAAGACCTGTAAATTACTCCCACTTTTTGAGTTAAAACCAAAAGTCATCGAAATACTTGTTGACCGTTACGCCGATATGGATCACGAATTAGTTTCAACCATGGTCAAATTTTATTTTATTTAATAAATAAAGTTATTACAATCGTATAAACTCATTCTTTTATCCAGTAGAAACCGTGATGCCAGGGTTAATTACATTAAGGAACTTTTAGAAACCCCATCGTATTGGCTAAAAACACCTCAAGTAGTGTTTCCTATAATTAATGGCCTTGACGTACACTCTGTTTCTCAAATACGGAACATCGGGGACGTATATTGTCATTCCTGAAAGCCGTTACACCTTCAACAGTTTCAAATCGAAGGAAAAAGTCAAATTAAATTTTGAAATTCCCATGAGAATGTTTTCCGACTCCATTTGGGTTGTGGAGCCAGGTTCATTAAAAGCAAATTCTAAATGACGACGATGTTGCAGCAGTGTATTTACTAAGTAAAATAAATAGCCCTGTTAAAGTTCACTGAAGACTAGCACACTCCCATTCCACTGAAACAGTTGGGTGGTTTTAACCGAAAGTAGCAAAAACAACAATAAGGATTCTAGTCAAATTCTTGTGCAAACAGTCTGTCGCTTTGATTAGAAGGGACTCTTTGTCTTCTTTGGGCTAATTAAACCCAATTTACAAGTTTCTGTAAATTAACAACCTTACGAACTAATTGACTAAAGATAATTGCATTTTTTTACGCAGCCCTTGATTTAATCAATTTTGGTTAGAAGTTTCGAAATATCCATCCTCGCAAAATAATTCAATGTGACAATTTTTTCGTGATTTGGGACACAAAAGTATGATGTGGACTTTAATTTTGCCTACAACATCACCATGTAACAAAGTGATGCGAATGCAAGCAGTCCTTGAATGGAGTTAACAATTTAAAAAATCCAAGGTTTTCTAGTTAACAAAACTGAGATAGCGTTGTAATTGGCATGTAGTCCTATCTCTCTACCTCTGACCAGAAATCAGGGCATTAAAATGTCAATCTATCCCGCTACCGCGATGTCCATGCACTAGCTACCACCGACAACACCCAAGTCTCACGAATCTGCTTAATGAAGTTGTGGTGTCAAAAAGTGAACATTTTCGTCAAAATCTAATGGTCAGAGTGACAAAAGAGATGATTAGGGACTTACACAGGGATATTGTTCAGGGTCGAATTCAGGATAGCGCCCAACGGTTCCAAACTGCCCACCTTTGGGCGACAGGTCGTGGAGCGTCATGGGAGCCGTGGGTCCGAGACCACCAGTCTGGGGCGTTTGGTGATGACCTGAAATGATGCCTGCTATTACTTAGCTGTCGAAAGTCGATCATAGAAATCAGTGAATGCAGGTTCATTGTGCATAGGGTCCCAAAAGTTATGGGGAGGCAGTTCCAGGGAGCTAATTGCGCAACTTCCATGAATGAATCTGTGTCCAGGAGTTACATGTGATGTAGGATTGATACTTTTGTTAGCAAAGAGAGGATGACCAAATCTGAGGGAACCCGTGAAATTTGGTTGCAGAATACGCCAAGAATCTTCAGTTATTGAAATGAATGAAACTCAACTGAAAAGTGTGACCCAGCAAAGTTTCATTGATTTTTCATGCCGCTAAATACAGGAAAGTGCATTGCTGTTAGCACCAACGGTAGTGAGGTTCGAAAATACTAATAATCAACAATGTGGTGGAAGGCAAATAAAACTAATAAATAACAAGAGTTTAATGTCGCCAATCTTTTGATTACATACAATTGTGAAGCCAGACTATGCGTTTATTTAAAGCTACGGCCTTAATTTCATTGTGAGTGAATGACATGAAGTTAGAAGGAACTGGACATGGTCTTTGCTGGAATAGGCCATGTTTCTAAGAGAGCAAACTCAGAGTATCCGCAGGTTGATGATGGCAGTCAAGAAGGAGCAGTCCCATAGGTTCAAATCAGGTAAGTCAGTAAACGAAAAAGCACGATGGTAAACAGCACCACCAACATTGTAATTGTACTTCATTGTGTGCTAAAATCAGAATCCATCTCCGATCTCAATAATCTGCTCTCATCCACGGCTCGAATACATCAAGTCACGTGACAACTCAGGGCCCTGCTGACATGCAACACGTTCCTCACTACCAACCGCGCGCCCGATTTATAACCGACGCCCGTGGACAATCAGCGACAGTCCCCATTGTCAAAAAGGAAAAAAAGCAATTGGCCTAACCTCTTCCTTCTAACTACTTATCGCGTACCTAACTCAGACGATAATAGTACCCTTCTGGTCTAACATAAAAGATTTGGAAAGAAAAGTTACAATTCTTGAAAGCTTGTTATTTACAGCTTAAGCGATGATAAAGACGACCACTTACTTATTCCCTTCTTCCAGTAAGCGACCGACTTTCTATGCTTGTCCCACATAAACATCATAATTTTAATTTCGTTATCGGAAACACCTGACCTCTATCTATTCACGGGCGTAACTCGTAAACATGGGTGACTTTCTTAATTTCACTAATAAGTGACTATATATATATATATATAACTTTGCGTGTGCACGTGCGTATGCGGATGCATTCGTTAGTGTGGGTGTTGCATAGCCAACATCTGCAAAAATGCGTATTTGGTGGAATCGTGAAGAGGGATTACATTGGAAAAACCATAGTGGATCGGTCAATATCGTAGCTAATAAAAACACACAGGTACAACCGTTTTAGTCAGATACTAAGATTGAAGTAATAACCGCATTACTCATTATTGTATGGTGTGGTATGTTCTAATGCAAAACGGTAGGAGCATCTTAAAAGTGGATCAAGTAACGTCCATTAAAAACGATTTCAGTTACACCAAGTAGCTAGGCAACAAATTCATGCTTTTACAAAAGTTACACAAGCCTACGCACAGTTTGAATAATGCCCGTCTTCTCACGTTGTCATTGGAACCAAGATGAAATACTTAATGGACAGGTATTAGAGTGGAGCGCAGAAGGATACACGAAATGAGAGTGCGCGAAGAACACGTTGAGTATTAGAAAACATGACTTGAGTACATGGGACACAGTGCCACTAATCACATCACTTATGCTTGTCAGGTAAATATGAATTATTTGCACGTTCCAAATAGGTTATTACGTGCACCGAAGGAAAATCTTATTTTGTAACTATTCAAATTTGATTGGTCAGCGTTAAAAAAACAGCATTATATTGAAACATTCGTGACCGCCTTATGAGGAAACAAATGGGGTGCGAATAACGTAAATTAGCTTACCCAGGTTAATGGTTTTGCGATTTATTCGAGGACCTATTTGCTGTCTATTATTATTATTATGATATACCCTCGGACAACATGATGGTACCAGGCCGTTCTTAAGACTATTTCGAAATTTCATTCGATCAAAATTGGAAAAACTGACGTGTTCGAAAAACTACTGACAAAAAATCTAGTTAGTTAACACATTTTACCTTTTTAGGAAGGTAGATAAACGAATACATAAGGCGATTAAGTCGAATTCCTATAAACACGGACATACTAGCATTATATTTTCAGATAAAGGTGTAGGCCTGTTCAAGGGTCACCCTCGTTTACCGTCGAAGAGGCTTTAAACGCACTCAAAAGAGCTCATGCCAGTCCTTTTATTACTCTAGCACTGGTATATTACATTCCTTCCGAATCCATCAGTGTAACTCACAAGAGCATAGGGCTCTGAGAAAATCGCTAACAAATAAACGTTAGGGTGAGGGTGTTGAACTGATAGAATCAGTCTGTCAGCAGTCATGTCAAAAACAAATGCGCATGCACGCAAGACCTGAACAGACTTGTGCGCGAGAGTGGGCGCCCGTCACCAACATCCGTTGGTAAGATAACAATTAGCCCAGGACTGTCACCTTTACCTGCTTGAAATAGATCACCCCAGCAAAAGCTCACCCTTGCCTTCAATCTTTTTAAACGGTGATGACTGAAAGGAAGGAATGATTTTAAGTACTGAAGAAGTTATAATAGGTGTAGGTGGAAAACTACCCCCGTCGTTTTACAACATCATGTTCACACGTGTTTTATCCTGAGTTTACCATCTAGATATGGCAGGGGTCTCAAAAGTGAATATGTATGGATCATCACTGCTCCACCTTTCCGCTATCTTCACCAAAAGTAAGAGTGTGCATGTGGTAGACGCGAGTGTCTACAGCTTTTGTGGCTCGTCTTCCTCTGTCCATAACCTACCTCAACGCAAACTCGAAGCGATTGGACTTTGGAATAACCACAACTTTCTCGTGGTGGTGTATTTCGATAACACAGTCACTTTCAGTAGACGCTTATAAAGTGTTGGCGAAAAGAACCAAATGTTAATTTTATAACTGTCAGCATACACGCCGTCTGGCAATACCTGGCTCCTACTGTTCATTTATTAGTGTGTATCCGAACTGCAGATATCAGCGTCACTCAAATGCTCACAAATAAATGCTGAGCACAAAATTTTTCTTAGATAATGGTTGCTTACTATGTGTATATTTTACCAATTTGCAGTCAACCGAATTACGTGGTAAGATTTAAGAGGACGTAAAAATAACACCAAAAATAAAACAACCAAATTTCCTGACGGACGACTGCTATTGCAGGCGCGGGTTATAGCGTCTGTCACGAGGTCAGAGGTCAGACTGATAGTAAATCAATAGAAATAGTGGTTGACATCTGTCACGGGAGTAGAGGTTGGGGCAGTCGCGCATAAAATTTGAAAAAGGCGTAAGAAGCGACGCTTTGTACTGTGACTTTGGTACTGGCCATGAAGTTATACTTAGAGGCACAGTAGCGAATTCCTAGCATAACTGACCTATTTTCGACAATCATTAGATCTTAAACGAGAAAGTAGCGGAGAAATTACGCCTTGTCGCCTCACTTGGCATTTGTCTAGTGCAAGTGCTGTGAATGAATTAGTTTTCTTCCCTTCAAAATACAGGACCCTTTCTTTAAAAAAAACAAAATCAAGCAATCGAGAGTGAAAAGCCGGAGTTGAATGTCGTGCTAACCATGCCGACAATGCCGGAAATAATGCTTACAGCATCAGCATTCATGTTGAGGCAACGCAAAGCAAAATAAAAAGATAACCTTTTTACTACGGTGAGCATTTTAAGGATTGAAAACATCAAAACATTGCATGAGACTATCGGTGGTAAAAACAAGGCAGTTGAGATTCTGACAAGTTGGACAACTAAAAGGGACTTAAAATGTGTGTGGTGGTTGAGTTTGAGGGTTTCAACCAAAGTAAGCAAGACTGGGAAAATTTTAAACACCCGATTGTGGATGTATTCTCTCACGCACAAGCTATGGTTAAAGTATGTTTGGGGCATTTGTCATCGACAATCGACCAGGATTGATGTGAGCACTCACCTTTATTTGCGAAATTTCTGATTGGAGTGCATTTCTTCACGAATAGAAGGATGGCGAGAAGAATTATGCATAGGATGCATGCCATACACAACAACACCGAGATAATTGTCACGTTTTTGTATTCTCCATTATTTGCGACGCCTCGGTTGAGAGCTGTGGGAGGGTGCTGTTGTCTCCCACTAAGAATGCGATCCGCACCACTTGGCTTCGTCGACCGTCGTCCTGCTGGATCCACTCCTATAGAATTCACTTGACGCCTTTGACTCGACTCCCGATTTTTTGCTACCCCGACCTGCCCCTGAGATTCTTGCGCAGGACTCTGGACGAGCACCCTCAATGGGAACCGCTTAGTTAATCTATGAATCGCCTCTTTTGGGTTGTCATGAGCCAATACATTCAAAGAATAGCGTCCAGGGAGTGGAAGAGTAGTTGATTTCGTTTTGCTATCTTTAATGCACAACTGACTGTGATCCTCGTTGAATACGAAGTTTGGATTATTGTCGAGAGTTACGGAGACGTTGCCATTACCGCAGGACTGATCATCGTCATCGTAAAACGCATAGGCAAAGGGCACACAGATGGGAGATTCACCCTGAAGTCTGTCTGGAGGAATAACGACCTCAGCTAGCAGCACCCGCGTTCGATCGGGGGAGAGCAGAGAGACCATGTAGGGTGCATTGTCGTTCTTGTCTAACACGTTGATTACAACGGTCGCCGTGGAGGATGGTGATGAAGGACTGGCGGTTTGAGAAATACCAGAGGAACTGGAATGCGCGACAACTTCGAGCGTGACGTTTGGCGTCTGTTCACGGTCCAGTGGACGCACTGTACGGATTACACCTGAATGCCTAAAAACAATCATTGAGCTTGAATATCATAAGGTAAATAGCTTACAACACTACCCTTGGCCTTAATAATTTATGAGCCTTTAAAAGTGCATACGACTGAATAACCGAAGCAATTCCAATTGTAAGTACCAATAGGCAACCATAATATTAATATTTACTCACCACTATGTTGTCAAATGCGGCTTTAATGAAGCGAAGTGCAGGAAGATCGTGATCAGGTATGCATAAATTATATACAGTTCTAAAAGGCCTGTTTCTGGAATAACTGCAAATCACGAATTTTGCCCTGTTGACCACTTATAGACATGCGAGACCTCGAGAGCCAAAGCCAGATTTGGAAAATTGTGTTTTCAGCGGTGAGCAAAACCAGTTACACGCAATGAAAAAAAAGGTTATCAAACGAGTGGAGCTTATTGACCTGTCAATAGTGAAGTAATGAAGAGCGGCCGCAGCGGCGTAGGAAGCGGAGGCGTCGGATTTGGTAACGGGGTCTGTCGTCGCCTTTAAGTGATAATTGATGATACGATTTTCGGGCAGACTGTCAATGTCGGTTGCTTCTACTCGGCCAACTACGGTGTGACTCGGCACGCCTTCTGTCACTTCAAAAGCGTAATGCTGCTGCAGCATTGTGGGTGGATTGTCATCCACGTCCTTCACCTGGCATAAACGCACAAATTGAAAGGTATAATTAGCGCGTTGTGGGTGATATCAGCAAGGTGACCTACCTCTTTCCACTGGAAAGGAAAGGAATCTACTTCACTTACTAGGTATCTTACGAATTCTAGGGGGTTACACGTACCCTGTAAATCCACAACCACTCTTCTAGTGCTCTTTCAGAAGTCAAACTAAATGCAAAATTTTTAATGCAAGAGTATTTGCGAGCATGGATTTTGGAATAAATTTAAACCCGCATGGCTGCCAAATGAATTGGGGGCGGATGTACAATAATTAGAGAAATGAAGTGATCGGGTGCATCAAATTTTGCATAAGTTGTTTCAGCTCTCCCTAGTATTTCATGTGGCAAGCAGAAGTGGCGCCGCAGTTGATAACCACCTGGATTGCTGTGATATCGAGTTTGAGAAGGCCATTGACAATGCTGTATTGCCCGAAGCGCCGACATAACACTGCAATTTACAACGACCTCCTTGATAAATGCATTACAATTATTACTCTCGAATACCAGCACGATAGCCCGATGTCCTTAGGAAATTAAACTCTATTTTTATAAGCAACATATGGTAAAATGCCTGCATCCATACTCGTAGGAAAGATGTCAGGTTTTACATAATACCAAGAAGCAGGGGGTACGCAAAACCAGAACATACAAAACCCATTCGCCAGTACAATAACTTGTAACAAGTCGGCCCAGTTTCTTGCCAATTTTGCCACCAGAATAATATTATTTTGTGTCCAACATTAAATATGATTCGTATTTACGCCAGTACATGCTACCTCTTAGCAGGAGCTGTGAAGTTTGTGTTCAACAAACCGTTAAACCGCAACGCAGGAAGTGCACGCATAAAACAGTGGAACAAGCTGTGCTACATGAATTCATAATAAGCCGTGCGTTCTACGCCCAAGCACTCATGAGTATAATGTTATGCTGCTAACGGTCTAACCACTTCCTTTCACGGAATAGCTGCAAAAAATGACTTAAATACGAGTCAGTTTTGCAACTTTCAAAAATCGCTTACGCTCCAGAGTTGACCGATGATTCGCCTAACCAACTGTGCAGTTAAATAAAATAGAGTTTAATGTAAAAGCGCCTTGGAATAATCCAGAAAGGAGATATCAAGTGTTAAGAGGAGGAGACGTGAGTTAATGCAAAATCGGTGCTTTCAAAATATTCGCTATTTGTTCATAAATCACAGGGTCTGATCTCTATAATCTTTCAATGTGCAACTGAGCCAGCAGTTGTATCGCTTCTAGTAGTTTGTCGAAAAAATGGGACACATTTACAGCCTCACCACAAGTACCGATTATAGACGTGGGATGTTTACTCTCAACACGCGTTTGGATTGAACTCGCATGGTCTTAAATCGACGTGACAATCTGCAGATGAATGCGTCTTGCCCCAAACTGAAAGCGATCGTACACCTAAATTCCACCTAGAGACGAGTTTTAGGAATTTTTATATTATCGTGGCACTCAAAACCAAGTCGCAGCTTAGTTGCGATGTGTACATGTCAGAATATGCTATTTCTATCTGTTTGTGAATTACATAATAGTAGTAATATACAAAACACCATGAACTTTTGAAAAGCTAACAAACAGGAGCATGGGTATATGGGAGTTAATGGCATGACCGCAATGAATGTTTGATGGGCCGGGAGAATTTGTTTAAATTAGGATTAAGTTCCTCACATGGTCTAAATTGCACATGAGTAATTATCTGGCTCGTAATTAGAAATTATAACTCTCAGAGGGTATTGCTTGCAAAGCTAAATGATAGTGGAATTTGTGGCAAAAAAGAATGCTTCACTTTATTTCGAACCTGCAGATCCCCCTGAACACCTATAACATGACCGAAGAGAAAAATGGGAAATTTTATGTAGCCGTTTTACTGCTCTAACCATCAAACTTAGTCCAGCAGCTCAGCTAAAGGCACGTCAGTTACGTCCAGCGCCGATTGGTACGATGGTTGATCCGCCTTAAGGACCAAAGTGACTCAGAAAAACAGGTCCTGGAAACTGATACAGCACAGGTGAGACAGGTGTGCAGAACGCAAAAGCGCACGTTTCACCAGATGTGGCCGGGAAAGGTTTTCCTGTATTTGGCATCGCACAGAATCGTTGCCGTGAGGTGCAGATGTGCAATCAGTCAGATGCTGCTTAAGTGGGAAGCATACCAATAAGCTAACGTCGCTCACCAAAGTTGGCTGCTTCAGCTTTCATGGGTGTGACGATAAGAGAGTTAGTTCAAAGCAAAATTTCGTGTCTACTTGTCAACCTATACCTCGTTAATTAAGCATCTATGACATTGGATTCAAAGCCATTAATTTATTCTAAGCTATTTTTAACGTACACGAACCAACAATTCAACAGGTAGACGCTGCTAAACATGACCGCACTTGGTGACTTAAATATGACAGATTTGTCTACAAATCTACGAGGCAGTAACCTTTGTAGATACTGAGAAAGGTCGAAATTTGCCTTGATACCCACAGTACAATTACAAAATATGCTACGACTACTAAACGCTAACTCCTCTCTCATGTAGAAACAAATCACACTTTTATGAAAACACAAACCTCCTACAACAGAACAAGAAGGGGAACAGCGACACAATTAATGGCTGAATGCACCTTATCCGTGTGTTTTGGTTATTTTGGTTACTGATCCAAGGGATACTTTTAAAGATCTAAAATTACAGAGCCTGGGTACAAAAGTGGGTTATTTAGGTACTCAACTTAGAGGCCATATTTGACTCACTAGGCGTGAACAATGTCCCGACAGAAAACAACGGACAATCTCAATATCGTGTAACGAAAGATTTTCGTACTTACGTCAATATTTGGCTGGACATCAAACTTGAACTACTTTCCGCAAACTTATACATAGAACTACATATTTTAACTCATCATTTAGGGGAATGATTGCGCCTGTTTCGGAACCGACTGATATTTTCTGTTGCATGAGGCTTAAAAAAACTTTACAATGACTGTACTGAAACTTAAATATTCGTATAAAATAAAGAAAATTCAAGTAAAGACTTTACAATCTTCTAGAACGTTTACGTTCAAATTTGTAGTGTTCAGAGTACAGTATCCGTAAATATGCCAAACTAGCTCAAAATACACAAGATAAAGACATGGTCTCCAGGGAATGTTTCACAAAACCAAAAAAATTTTACCGAATAATACAAGCCAAGCGCAGCACAGATGCTGACCCCTTATCAAGGCAGATTTACAACTAATTAATCAAGATCAGAGTGGGAATACATCCTGTGGGACAGAAATCGGTACTTTCTTTTGTATACTTTTCAAGATTTTGTTTAGTTTTAGGCAGCCTATAATTTATAAATGCTCAAAGATAATGACTACAAGCAAACATCTGGCCAATAGGGATGATGTAAAGTTAATCTCTCGCCACAAATAGGTGCGGATTTTAAGAAGTAATACCCACAAAGGCATTTAAATTGTTAGTCCCATTTCATCGGCTGAAGTTATCTCTAATCTATTTGGGACAAATGACCAGCGCAATTCATAATCAAGAAAAACTAACTAGCAAGTCATAAAACAGATGTGGAAAATGAGCACTGATTGCCCTACGTAATCGAAATATCGCATTGATATTTTGATAGTTGCGTGTAACTAATAAAATGATTACCAAGAAAAAACAGATTAACCAAATAAGTGCAAATAAATTACCAAAATCAATTGGTTGCTATGCCAAATGGTTTTTCAATATCCGCCGGCAGGGAGTTACTAACTAGGCCACTTTTTGAACAACATAGGTAAATCTAGACTTTGCAATGATTACACGGCAAGGCTACATGCCTAAAAATTGATTGATTAGGCAGAATATACAAATATCAGAAAATATTTAGAAAATTTCTTTCAAGTGAGTGCTCTATGAATTGAGCGCCAAAGCATAAGCCAAAATAGAAAATTACAACAAATAGCCTCCTTAACCACAAAATTGTGAAAACGAGAGCCACGAAGGAAAAAAGACATTGTAAATTACCGTTATGGTTAACTTGGCGGTTGAGGAAAGAGCTTGAGAAGCATCAATAGGTTGGTCAGTGGCGATTAACAATAAGTGATAAGAAGACTTCTTTTCAAAATCAAGCGGGACTCGCGTCTTCAGTTGCCCGGTGACTGGATCGATGTAGAAAGACTGATAATCGGCCTTGTCTGACTGAGTTGAATTATCTGCATCGCGAGTCCACGCCGCAAGTGAGTAACTGATTGCGGCATTGGGTCCAGTGTCTGCATCAGTCGCGCGGATATGAGAAGGGCCTACGAACTTCGCGGTCGGATTTCCATAGTTCGAAAAAGAGTCCTTAAAGTCCACTAGGGCATCAGCCTCATTCTCCACCACCGTCCCAAAGAATTGACTCTTTTCAAACACAGGTGGGTTGTCATTCGCATCCTTAAGTAAAATGCGAATTTGACTTTGACCAATTAAGCGAGTGGTTGTCCGTCCATCAACGCAGCGAACACCGACCGAGTAGCTAGGCGCTTTCTCTCTATCAAGCTGGGCCAGGCTGATCAACTCATACACCTTCCTCTGCTGAACTGTGTTCTCGCTGCTTACCTCTCTGAGGTCAAACAGACGTTGATGGGAGCTGATGTCGCAAAATACTTCATCCAAACTGGTGTCCTGGTCGTAGACATGTACGTGACAAATCACCTTGGGTAACTGATTGTCGGTATCCTCTTCCCGTTCAAGACTTGCATAGTCAGAATTGAGGAGGTTGCCTTTGTTAAAGAACCGAATAACTGGAGGCTGGTCATTCGTGTTCAGAACTTCTACGGAGACCGTGCTAGTAGACGCTAGTCTTGGGGTCCCGTAGTCTTGAACTACAACCTCAAAGTCAAATGATTTAACGGATTCGTAGTCGAGAGGTTGAATGAGCCGGAGCACTACACCATCCAGAGCGGGCGAAGCAAGTATGTGCATCCGGAGGAAATCGGAGGATGGCTTCTGATTGCCAACGAAATGCGTGCCAGGGCGAAGGAAGTAACTCAAACGCGAATTCTCACCTGCATCCAAATCAGTGACATGAAGGTGCACTAGTGTCTTGCCAACCTCATTTTCTTTCACAAAAACCTTAAATTCGCTCTGTCTGAAGGTAGGAGTGTTGTCGTTCTCATCTAGAACCTAAATAGAATACAGAAGATGGGAGATATTATGTGTGAATTGTAGATACTCTGTAGTACCACCAATTTGTAAAAAAATAAGTTGTAAGATAAGATCGTTTTTGGGCCTCTCTTCTAGCTGACATCGTAAAACTCCAGTTCTCCACGCGCAGAATGTTTTTGTGCGAGTTGAAGTGACCAAACACTTCATTATTGCAAAACTCTGAAGTAATTTATATTATTCTAATTAGGTTTCTTGTATTGTTTTGGTCAAAATGATACTTCTCGTTATATCACGCCTTGCATTATTAATCTAAACAAGTCCCTAATATAAACGCATTTACACAAACGTAGAGCATCGGGTTTATTTGACTTGGCGATTTCGATGCAAAACAAAGTTAGAAAGTTGCGTGTTAAAAATAGGTGAATCACTGTCAATCAAGTAGCCTTGAGACCAGATTTGTTGCGTGCAAAGAGACAATATCTGATATGAAGAAAGCCCACATTTTTATTTATCATACCGTGAAACCTTTCGCCACTAGGTCAGTAAGTATTACGGCGGGTTTAGCGAAGAAAATACGAGGCATAATTTATGATACCGACGTGCTAGGAAACGACGCTTAATCTGTGGTCGGTGAACCTAATTTCATAAGACTCCAAAAGTAGGCTTTGAAATTCCCATCACGCAATATCAAAAGAACCAGGAGTTACTCAGTGTCCTTCGCAATCCCTGGGGCTTGCAGTTTTCGGTGGACTAAGATGTTTCTGTACAGACGAATAATTTGTTAATAGCTTCTACGGTAAACGGTTAATTTTGAATGTAAATGAAACCAAGTTGCATTTGCTGGCGAATGGGAACCCCATGGGAAGTTTCAGAAAGTGTAGGGCTACGTAGCCTTACACTTTGCAAAAGATAATGGAAACAAAAGGCATAATGATCTAGATGGCGTCGAAACCCCATGTTTTAGACGTTGCAGATGGTGAAGCGTTGAAGCGAACACACAAACACAGAAAATAAACTAGCCAGAAGGCATGTTATACGCTGATAAATTAGTAATTGGGAGACTTTCGTGTGTCACTTCCTGACTTTCTCAAGGGAACGATACCCTAGTTTTAGCAAAGCTGGATTTACTGCTTTTCTAGCTCCACAGCCAGGCCAGCATTCACTGGGGATTTCCAGCATAAGATTTAATTAGATAAGATAGCATTTGTGCAGACTGAAGTGTAATTTAATTTCAACTTATGCGATTGAGTTATTGCCAGCTACATATGCCTTTAGCTAGTTAAGGCTCTACGTAAAATGATCAATATATCGTCTTCAGCATTTGTCTATCTTGCTAGTAAAAACAGAGGACTCTACAGACACAAGTAAGATCTTTGAATACGTTCCTTGGGGTGGAGACGAGACATCCGTATTCCCTTTATTTATTCCTGGAAAGTGACAAAAACTGTAAAAGACTATAAGGAGCAAGCCATTTGTCGAAGATGGACACGTCGAAAGCAGAACTTCAAAAACGGTGCCTTCGCATGTGCCCCCCTCCCAAATCTAGTGTTCATATGAGAATTTGTTAATGATTACTACAAAATCATGTGAATTGTTCACACAATTCGTATATTTAACTGACAGCAACCTAACCTAATTTTCATGTCATATTCTGCCTTTTCTGCAATTGTAGTTGCATGAAAGCAACCACCACGAAATCGCAAATGTCCTAGTTAAAAGTACAGTGGTGATGTAACCTACCATCGCTCGTTACTGTGTGGCAGATTTTATAGACAATTTTAATATTAATTCATTCAGAGTGATTCAATTACACCGTTTTATGTACTAGTCATGATACACAGTTGTGATGAATGTGATTGAGGCAAAACGCGACATCTGACTCACCATAATGGAAACCGATAGTGTCGTTGATAAAGCCACCGGTTCCCCTTGATCTCTTGCAATTAAATCAAACGTAAAACCGGATACCGTCTCTCTATCAATTGGCTTAAGTAGACACAGGGCAGGAGGGGAAAATTCTTTCTGTTCGGGTTCGTCTGACGCCCTGGTCGCGCAGCGGTCCTCCGGTCCGGAGAGGAGTTTGAAGTGCTGTTCCCACGACGTCATTGGGTTCGGCTTTTTAACGCGGAACAACAGCTCGGCGTTTCTGCCTTCATCCAAGTCAACTGCTCGTGGAAGAGGAATAATCGTTCCCTCGTGTGTGTTCTCAGCGATTTTTACCACCACCAAGTCGTCCTTCCCTGCGTGCCTTTGAGTACTCTCTGGAGGCGTTGTAAATCTTGGATGGCTATCGTTAATGTCAATCACTTCAACACGAAGAGCAAAGGTTCCATACCCCTCAACGGTGATGCCCAAAAAGACGCAGCACTTGAAATTGAGCTGAGGGTCAAAAGGACTGGTTCCGTATCTCTCCTTGCTTTCTGTGCTCGCACAACATTTACGGGCCACGGAGGCGTGGTGTGGGTATTTGAAAGGATCACAAATTTCTTCCCGGTCAATAGGGAGTTCGTTAGTGAGAATACGGGAACCGTCTTTGGCATGCTTGATAACGAACGGATGACTCTCTGTGGCATCGGTGAAGAAGACTGGCACTTGTCGTGCCTCCCGTGTTGCAATTGATAGTTTTTCCTGGAAAAGTTTGGTCAAATTAAAGGATATTTCCTGAGGAATTTCTGCGATGGAGGGAATGTACGCAGGGGCACTAAATTTTTGCAAGGCGCTGGTCTCTAGTATGGGAATCGAGTGAAGGTACTTGCAGGCGAAGGTAGCGTGAGATGAGTAGATCAGAATTAAGATCAGTTGAAACATCCTTGCTGTTGGAACCATTGTTCCTCATGCACTGGCTTCACTTTGGCCTGAGAGAAACACAGAATGAAAAAAAAACCCACGACAGTCAGAAACGTGGCCAGCATGACAGCTAGACCTTAAAGCGCTACTTGTGGCAAAGGTTGTGGGTCTTTTTTGTGGCCGCAAGTGAGGAAAAAAGAGGGGAATTGTAGTGCCGGAAAGGATACAGTAAGGCGAAGATGACACTTTTTCCTGGACACCGAACCACACGCGTTCACACGCCATGTGAGATTATTTCAAGCCACCTTGCGAGGACCAAGTGATGATGTTTTTTGTCATCATTCGCATTAACATCACCTTACTTAGCTCCAAGAAAGTTTAAAATAGTCAGGAGTTTGTGTGATTTGGCTTGCTTGTCTGTTTGTAGTGAAGTTTCATCAAATGAGCGTGGGTGAATGTCGAATGGGTGAGTTGATCGAATGTTATCGATTGTCGATATCAGTTGACGTTCGATATTCACTCACGCGCTGTGCTACAAGAGACTTGGGTGATCAAATGTAAACAAAGCGTGGTATTCGCTATCATCGGTCTTGCCTTTCTTCTCGGGCTGTTACGAACTGTCGACTAGCAGGCTTGTAAAGTAGCGCTAACCAAGCCGCTACATGCTCACTGTTATTTGGAATAGAACCTGCGACGTGCAGTCACGCAAACCGTAAGTCTTGAACAGACTAAATACCTAGCGAAGACGGTTGGTTGAGCACTTACGAGCCAACGCCACGGTCTGAAAATGCCTTACCACGTTGATATTTGTTGCAACATTTTAGAAGAATCAGTCTTTTCTAAATAAACATTGACTATCCAGTCTTAAGATCAAACTTTTAGGTAATAAAAAACAGACTACAATAAAATGAAGCTAATTGGACAAGATTACTGTGAAATGCGTCGACACCGATCAGTACCAAAATTTCGAATCAAATCGACAAGAGTAAAATTCGAATTGATTGTAGATCAGTTCGGTTCAAAGAAGGGTCTCAGGTTAAGGCAGGAGCGATTCCTTTCTCTTAGACTTAACCTATTTTCTGTGGTAGGCGGCACTGATTGAAGTGGCTTAGTGTCTCGGCTTAACCACACACACACACCGTAAGCTACCACTTTTTTCACCAGGCTTAGGCCGCCTAGGAGGAGGAGGATTAAGCTCGGTGAAGTAAAAAATCGTGCTTGTTTTACCAAAATGAGCACACGATTGGCCTTAAGATACTTGAAATTGCACTAGCTGCTTAGTTTCCACTTAAATCTAAAAGATGCTAGAATTCACAAAATCGCACTCGAGGTGATAAAACCAGAATTTTTGAGAGGACAAATGAAAGAAGAGCGATTAAAAATACTTAACAATGCAGTGAAACACGAACAGCCTACTTCTACAAAGTAACAGCGAAGATGATCCAACCACGTTGACCAATCAGAGTGGCAGAGGATTCAACTGTAACGAGGATTGTTTCCACTGGCTGAAGCTTAAGAGCCCCATAACTTGAACAGAACCTATGATCATTCTCCACACTTCCTTAAACGGCTCATTTCTAACAGGATCCGGTATTTACGTGGCCATTGTAAAAGCTAGAATGACGTACCCTCCCCCATCCATCCCTCTTCAACCGATGAAGCTAGGTGACTAAATAAGGCAGTTTCGTGGTGATAGCGTGGCCAAATGCGTGGATGATAGACCCGGATCACGGAGCACTTCCTCTAATAGGCTCTCCATTGGGGTCACGCTGGCTTGAAGTCTTCCGTCGTAACATGTGCATAAAAATGACCACCCACATAGAGGCATAAACGCCATTGCGTGACCTAAGTTGGTGTCACAGAGGTCATGTAAGCTTGTCAATGTGACACGGAATTAAAAGCGGCCCGCATCCCCGTAAGGTGATGGTTACTTAGGTGTTATAGTTAAATAAGAATAGTATTTAAACATAGTTAAACAGAATCGAATAGCCGGCTTGACAGTGTTAGAAGTTCCACGTAAACAGTGAATACCAGACACCTATTAATATTACTGCCAATGAGTTGAAATAAAGCGAATCATTGGCTGAAATGTTTCAGGAAGAAAATGTGATTAGTTTAAATATTAAATTAGTTTAGCTCATTAGCGTTAATCAAAATAAATCTAAGAAATGTGGTTGCTTCGTTGTATAATATGGTATTCGACACACGGGTGAGTGTGGCAGTGAGTTGAACAGAGCAAAATTAAACGAATCACGTAAGTTTCGCAAAAAATGCTTATCTGCCTACTCGATGTGTTTTTGGTTTTGTGTTCACTCAAGAGAGAGAGAAAACTGGAGGCGAGAAATAAACTTTTTTTGTAGTGTGGTGTTAGCCTAGACACATCCACTTGAGCGCACCATGCAGTCTTCTGAGGGTAGGAAGGGAGAATGGAACGCCAATTATTCATTTGGCCCTTCTTGTTCAAGGGCTGGAGGAACGTGACACACACTCCGTCATGCTAGTGCCACCCTGGATCATGGTTACATTGAGACAAAAAAGCTACCCTCGTCTATCTGACGGAAGAATATTTGAGGCTGCTCTTGATAAACTGATCCGATTTGAAATAAACATAACGAAAACAAATGATTTGCAAGTTAGGCAGCCTAGTGACTGCAATCGGACAGAAAAAAGTCACCAGAATTGGGCGTCAATGCGAGTTTGGAGTTCTTTACTAAGCAGATGCTGGTGTAGTTAAAAAATAGAACCGAACTCTGATTTCCACGTCAATTTGTATTCGCAACCCACTAAGTAATTGGTTCTTCCTGATCATAATTCATACATTTAAGGTATCGTGAGGCAATTAGATGCTTCGACAACGATTCAGTTCATGTACAGCTTTCCAGACACCATTAAAAAAAACATCGTTCTCGGAAAATGACAGCCACGTGACTTGATTATACTTCTCATCTTCCAATTAAAACGAAGTGTACGTTTTCATCCAGTCGCACTCATATATTCAACATCTCCAGGTTGTGCAGTGATAACACTTATGCTGATAGATCTGGGCTGCAATTGAAACCACTGCATTTCTGAGTTCTTTAGGATCAACCGTACACTTCTTTCAAAAATTAAAGCAGTGTAATGGCAAATGAAGACGAAAACGTAATATTTCCGCTAAAATTTCACATGATTTTGCGGTTCAGCCGTAGAGTTGCCTTATTGTCGTTGAGACAATGGAGCTGGAAGGGAGAGTGGGCTGGCCAGGAAAAAAATGAACGACGCTACAGCAGTGAAGTTTTCCAGAGGCTTGGGACGAAAGAAAATGAGCAAAGAACAGCGAGAGAATTTATCTCGCTTCAATTGGTAAGGAAATGAAATGGAACACGGACTCAATTATCACCAAAGCCATGTCATCCCATTGGGTTTCGTACCATTATGCGTTGTGCAGGGAAAAAGTGAACAAAATCTAAGCATGATGACATGCATGTTACCCAAGCAAGTGAAGCAAAGGACATGTGTTGACACGCACTATTTCTTTTATAAAAATTTAAATGTTTAAACAGAGGATCTTGCTGCTTTAGGTGTTTAACCTTTCGGTGCAACAGCCTAGTTATTTAACCCGCGAAAGTGGCAAAACCAGAACACGAATGAATCAGTGACAAGTAGTGGGATTTACAACATTCGCACTGGCTACTTTGATGTCCAACATTCGCCTTCGCAATTCTCTTCATTCACCACGCAATTTATTCCATGACACTTGGCATGCACTGATAAAAATGCAGGAGGAATTATGCTCTGTCACATTGAGAGGAACTTCCGGAGGTTTCTCGTGCTGTGGCCTAGAAAGTGAGGTCATAACAGCTATTGACGCCGATGACCAATGTGGGGCTTTAGTGCTAATTTTTTAAGAACGAATCATTGTATACAGAAATACCATCACAGAAGTAGTTGGAAATCAAGTGTGTTACTAAAGGTTACTTAAATCTCAGGGATATAGTAAAGCTACCCTCGTTCTATAAACTCCAAAACCAAGTTAGCGTAGTTTTACACGAATCCGAAGAAGTGGCTGAGTACCACTTATTTTAATCTAATACGAATTCAAAAGTGGTCGAGTGGCGTGATTGCATGAACGTCAACAACAAGGTGAATGGTGTTACAGCGCAATTTGGTTGATAGCAGCTAAACTCCAGAATGGCAGAACTGGCATCCATCCCTCCACAACCCCCTAAACGGAAGAACTAAGAGAGATTTATGGTGCACATGAACATGATGAGGTAAATGAACCCCTGCAAGCATGAAAAGCAATTAAAGGACTCGTAAGTTCCGGTGGCAGAGAGACACGATTTAAGCCAAGAAAAGCAAATTCTGCACAGGCCTGATACCTCTGATGTGCTGCTTAACAAGAGACAGTACTGTTTTGTTGGTTCCATTTGAACAAATACGAGCGAGACTAACGCAATTCAGCACCATCGTGGATTAACTTCGTGCTAGACTGAGCCAACGATTTGAGAAATGGACAATGGCTGTCAAGCCACCACATTATCTCTCCACAAGGTGATGCTTCTGCACTCAGAATCCGGGGTCATTTGAGCCGCAACATTGCAAGTCTCCCTTTTTTCAATGTACGGTTACCATGGTAATATCAACTTGTGGAATCAACATAGTGAACATTAAAGTCTGTAATTTGGTGACCTTCAAAGCTTTTTAGCAACAAATTCCATGAAAACGTCATTGCATTAATTAGATTTAATGCAGGATATAAATTTAAGAAAACTCTACTTTCCATAATAAATGACACTAGCTGACGAGTTGTTTCTTCAATGGGGTGCCTCGATAACACTTTCCTTTGGCTTTGATAGATTACTACACCTAAAACTCCATGTTTAATCTCTTTTGTGGTAAATATATCATTTTTAACGAAAGGTGAAATGCAACGACGGTATTAGGACTTGATGCCAGTGAGGACGACAAATCGCTCTTCGCTCAGAATTCAGGAACTTATTTAGAGTAACATCCTAAAATATCATCGCTTCCTTTGTCCA